ACGGGCCAGGAAAGTGAATTGACAGAGGCTCTGCATTTTGGGCGCTTTTGTCTAGAGAAGCCCAGCAGACTTACATTACATGTCTGGTAGGCACTGCGCCGGTCCGTTGGCAAGAGACTGGATGAGTGCATGAACATCCCAAGTACATGGCCCGTTTGGGCGACGGCAGGAACCTTAATGCGCATCCCAGCGCCATGTGCCGCGTTGGTTGCATTTGGCGCGTGCCGGCCCGTATCGTTTATGTAGTCAAAGGAACAAGATTGAACAATGCAAGTGCTCGGACACGGCGGCCATGATCAATGCGCTGCGGGCGTCGATGGTGCACACAATAGTGGGCTAGCAGCACAGCAAGCCGTGCGTGCTTGTCAATACAACAAACAGCCGTTGACGTTGCCCAGGACGGCAAGATATTGATTTGACATGTATTGACATCTGGCACTGGCACTGGCACTGGCACTAGCCGCCGTTGGTGGCGTCAATGGCCAAATACTCAGTATACATACGTCAATCAATCCATCTTTCATCCTTGTTTTATGTTTGTCGTCTCCCCGCCGCGTATTGCTGCGTGGGACACGTCAGTCATTCTACCGAATTACTCCGTAAACATCAAATTGTAAACTGGTGGAAGGAGCAACTGCCCGCTGCCTGTCAATGCTCTCCACCCCGATCACCTCCCGCCCCGACACTTCAATGTATGTTGTGTAAGTAGCCTTGGAGTTACTACCTTCCCGCTCTCGCCCGCACCTCCCTTGTCTCCCCTGTTTGAGCAAGAGCATCCGAGGAAAAAAATGGGGTATTTCTCACTATCACATCCGAACCGAATCCATGGAAAAAAAAAAAAAAAGAGCCCGAGATTAAACGCCGTCGCCAAATGCCTTTCCCAAATGCTTCTCCATCCGCTCGAGCCTGTTGCCATTTTCTTGCCCCCAAATGATGCCCAAAGGCCCCAACCCCGGAGCCCAAAGCATCGATTCGCCCGTCTTCTCCCCTTGTTTTCTCGCCGTTGAGTGCCACAGCCAGAGAGGACTGGACAAACGCCCACGCCTGGCTCCCGCTCTTGAATGTTGAATGTTTGACGGCCCCGTCATAAGGACTGCCAGACGTTTGTGAGCCACCGCAACAGGGTCATGGGCTGTACATCCCCCTGGCCACTCTTTTCCAACGCATCATTTAGTGAGGCCCGTGAAAAATCATAGCGTCCGTTTGTCGTGGCAATGAGACGCTGGTAATATGCAACTTTATCTCCGTCGCCGGCCTGGACAAAGTAAGCCAGGTATGACTGGAGCTCGGAGCTTTGCCGCATGTGATGATCAAAGGCCACTGACCAGGAGCAGTTAGTATTTTTTTTTTTTTTTCTTTCTGGGTAATTGTGCCCTTGCTCCAACTCTGACCTGGGGACACCTTACCGTTTCTGACGCGACTGCATGTCCCGACAACGTCTCGGACAGACATTCTGTCCCCCCGCATGGTGAATTCGTGTGGCCAGTTTCGAGGACCCAAGTCTATGGCCGCTACTATGAAGCGCACCACGTCGTAGACCGATGTTAAGCACACCCGTACTGTGTGCCCCTTAGAGTTTTCGGCCGCATATTCTGCTGTTGCATGGTTGATGTCGAGGAGATAATCTCCCACCGCCGAAACGCCGCTGCCGTACCCAATGTTTAGGTACCCGAGGCCGTAGGGGTGAAATCGCTCCATAAAGATGCCACACGCAAAGACGGTGTATTTCATGCGCGACGCAGTCTCCCATTGTTTCAGCAGAGCGATTGCTTGCGTCGACCCGCGGTCCAACGGGTCGTTCTGCGATTGTCGCCGGCTCAAACTCCCCTCAAACTCCGACGGTACGAAGACACGCACGCGAGCACGTCCTGCCGCGTTGATGAGGCTGAGCTGCTCCGTCCCCGATATAGTCGATATGGCCAGATCCACGCCCTGAAGAGCAAAGGTCAACTTGTCGTGATCACTGTAGTCGACAACATGGAGTTGGACGTCGAGCTGGCCGAATTCGGGTCTTGCCTGTGCCACATTAACATGGTAACCTGAGCGCCCGAGATGAGGTTGGGCAAACCAACAGATCGTGATAAAACGACAACGTTGTAAGCGTTGGCTGCCTGTGAAAGCTGCAGCGCCAGCAGGTATCCGAGTCCACCTCCACCTGCGACGGCAATGCGCATCATATTTGGTGCAACCCGCTGGCCGCCGCGGGCCAAATGCTCTTCTTCGCGTCTCTCCTCTCGGTAGGTCGGTCTTCGAAAGCCTGCATGAAGCAAGTGCTAAGTTGAGTGGATTTGGCTCCGATAACCAAACACTTGGCGCACATGTGCGTATATATATACTACCAGGCCGTGGAAGGGGGGGGGAAGCCTTGTCCTTCCGCGTCATTGATGTTACATCCGCAATGCAGCAAAACAGACAGCTAGGCAATTACCGACAAATGCAGGAAGTGGAAGGAGGTCCAGAGTCGGATTCGAACGTCTGTGGCCTCCACCATAGAACCACACATGTTTGATACAGATACAGGCTTGAGGGACACACAGTCACACACACCACCACCAACTCAGGCGCCACGCGGGAATGTAATGCCTTTTTCTCGGTTGCCCGTTCTGACAAGGCAGCGATTCGTTGCGGCTCGGCTTACCGGAAGCTCAGCATACCAGGTCAGCCAGGGACCGCTCGTCGGCTCTTGTCTCTACAATACCAGTCCGTATGCTCTCCAACATTGCTCGGGTGGCCACGGGGGGCAAGCGTGGTCTCAGGGCGCCTATAGCAACTGCGGGAAGAGTCTCGAGCTAGCTGGGATCCTCACATTACAACCTTGCTGAATGCCCGGATGGCTTCAAATGGTCCTGGACTGCGAAACATACATCGGCCGGTGGGGCGTTGCTATCGGCCGTAGGCACAGCGGGCCGATGTGGGCAAAGGAGAGGGATGGGCATGGGCATGGTTTCCAAGCACATTCTTCGCAATGGGGACTGGCGGCTTTGCTCCATGTCGCCCGATGGCCCAGATGAAGCCATCAGAGCTGCCGGCAACTGTCATTGTGTCAAAGGCTCCGAGGACCCTATTCCGCACACTATCCGGCGGCAGTGGCCGCGTGGGCGTCCAGGGGCACGGACGGTCATGGTCTTGGGCCATGGCTGGCGCTGGCCTAGACCAGCTTTCATCCAACACCACGCGGTAGAAGAAGCACCCGTGGCGCAATATTCAGTCAATTAAGTGGGATATGGCGGGGTAGCCCGGCCTTCTCTATCTCCTCTCCTCCCTGGACAGGACAGATTGTATGCACCAGACCAATGGCATTGGCCTCGTGAGTTACGTAGCGGACGATCCCCGCGCGTCCTTGTACTGGCTGAAGCGTGGTGGTTCGATCTTGGGACTGGAGATCCGAACAGGACGTCAGCACATCGAGGCGTCGGCGACCAAAGCTTCCAGAGCTGCTTTACCGAAGCTCGTTTAAGCAAGCAGCAGTTGGCCAGTACTCTGTACTCTGTCCCTCCCCGGGCAGAAGCACCGGACAGGAGCCGGGCTAGTTTTAGTCACTTAGTGTCCGTTGCGGAAGAAAAATACTGGAAACCGGTGAGGCGGACGAAAGAGGTGCGTATTCCGTGCTGCAGCGAGTAATCTCAAGCCAGCCAATTACGATGCTTGGCCCGGTAACTCAACAATGCAGAGTGGTCAGACTTGAGCAAGGGCCCAAGGATAGGACAGCGAGGCTGAAATGCACAAAAGGCCCTCCATCATGCCTTACATGTTTCAATCTCTCGTGACCGGGTTTAGAATCCGAGAGGCGTGAAGGTTCGGCTCCGACCATATTCTACCCTTACTAAGACGACACCGAACCGTAACTTGTTTGGGGCGTCTTCTGTTGCCCCGGAAAAGCACAGGGTGTCTCGCAGCTTATGGCTTGTGTAAGCCCCCGTATCTTGGCTTGCCAACCACGCGCTGGTGGCTCGATCTTGGCGTGATCGAAAGGGTGGTGGTAGTAGCGGTGGGTAGAGAATTTCAACTCGTGGTCCGAGGTCAACCACATCTCTCTTCATGTCGCGGCCCCGACAACCTCATTTCGCAAACCGTGTCCGAAAGGCTTCACACTCCCTACTTCGTACGCAACCAGACCTCCCAGCAACCCGACTTCGAAAGCGCAAGACGCCGGTTCACCAAACGAGCGGGTGGCGATTTAGCACCGCGCTAGGGAGTGCATGGTGCATGCAAATCAGATTTCCGGGAACGAACGAACGACGAAGCTCATCAAGCAACAGGGTCCGCACGAGGAGCGTTGGGGGCCAAATATGTCCACTCCTCGCCAATAGCCCGAGGCTGAGCCCGGCATGCGCCGCCTTGTAGGGCTGACGATCGACTGAAAAGGGCAAAGTAAGCACAGTCGAGTGGTTTGCAGCTTGGCCACCATGGATAAAAGGGGCGCAGGGTGTTACAGCCATGCCTGTACGGAGAAGCCAAAATTGTGCCAGAAGAAGCTGTGCCAAAAAAATTGCCGTGGCCGGTGACCAAATGTGGATTGTGCCGGATATGCCGCCTGCTGAGCAATTTGTGTCTATCTTTTCGAAGCTCCGGAAGATGCCTATTTCAGCCAAAACGTGGCATGCCATGTCAGATGCACTATGAAATGCAACCATTGACGGGACCAACCGCCAAGTCGTGTTGGTAGGATGATGCAGAAAACGGTCCCGGGTCCCGACAAACTGGTTCAACAGACACGTGTTTGTGTTGGGACCGGGGTTGTACGCATGTGTCTTTTCCTCTTTTGTCCTTGATCTGATACGAGATGTGCGTGGGGAATGCGTGTGTTTCAAAGTTTATTCATGCCAATGGTTTCTTGTTGGTGTTGGTCTAGTATATCTGAACAACCCTAGCTCCTATTCTTAGGGTTGGATTTCTCAGCCTGAGATAAAGGCAGACAGATTGTTGGTTGTCCGCTCCAGCCCACACCCGCATCCGTAAAAGTCAATGTACTGACTGTATTTTCCCGAAGGCACGTCATCTTACGTCTGTAGGGCCGTATCTTCTCTAGCCGCACCGCTGCCCTTCTTCCAGCTCTCGGTGTGGTCCACCTGATCCCTGACGCGGCTCTTCTGCCCAGGCATCCCCCAGCCGCCGCCACCTGGTGTGCATACGATGATCCGATCGCCAGCCTTCATCGCCGCGCTGTTCTTGGCACCCATGTTGATGTAGCGTTCTTCGTACTCGGCTTCCTCCGTCTCGTCGTTGGAATGCGGTTCCCGGAACTGCTTGAGCGACTTCTCCCAGTTTGTCTTTTCGACGTTGCGAACCCACAGGTTCAGTCCGCACTCGCCGTCCTCTCCGCCATTCATGCCATACGGGCGGTATACGCGCCGTTCGCTGAGGATGGATACCTGCAGGGGAATCCGGAATTCGATATCCCGGATGACGCCGTCGCCGCCACGGTGCTGGCCGTTGCCCCCCGAACCCTTGCGAATTGAAAACTCGCGCAATAGCACGGGATATCTGCGCTCGAAAATCTCCGAGTCTGTGATTCGGGTATTCGTCATGTGAACGTGAACGCCAGATGTGCCGACCCAGTCGGGGCCGGCGCCGCTTCCCCCCGCAATAGTCTCGTAGTATCCGAAGCCCCGTACGGCCTTTAACCCGGACACGTTGCCGCCGAATCCAAACGTAAGGTTGTTGCAGCAGCCTTGGCTGGCAGCGCAAGCCTCAAACGCTTTGAAGATGACGTCTGTGATGCGCTGGCTGGTAAGCACGTTGCCGCCTACGACGGCCGCGCCGGGGGCGGGGGACAGGATGGATTTTGGCGGGATGTTGACGTTGATGGGGCGGAGGCAGCCTTGGTTCAGGGGGATGTCTTCAGATATTAGGCACCTGAGACAGTATATGATGGCGCTGTAGGTGATGGCTTGCGGGGCGTTGACATTGCCGTATACCTGGGGTCCTGTGCCTGCAAAATCAAAGTCGGCGCTGCCTTTGTCCGGGTCGATAGTAATCTTGAGCCTGATGGGCGTTCCTTCATCCATGTAGTCGACGGCCTCAAGATTTTTGCCTTTGAATCGTTTGTAGATGTCCTTGAGGAGGTTGCGCACGCAGAGCTCGGCGTTCCTTTGAATATTGACCATGTAAAACTGGACGGTGGGTTCTCCATACTCTTTAATGAGGCTTTCGATGAGGGAAATTCCCTTTTGGTTGGCTGATACTTGGGCCCTGAGGTCGTTGATGTTGTCAGCAAGTGTCCGGGTGCCGCTACAGCCGGGATACTGGGCTGGCTCGTCGTAAAAGAGCTCGATGACTCTCTTCTCATCAAATTTACCACCGCTTACGAGCTTTTCGCTGATAATGGAAGCACCCTCCTGGTATAGTTCGCGGGAGTGGGGGGGCATGCTGCCGGCTGTGATGCCTCCAATGTCGGCGTGATGTGCGCGGGATGCCGCGTAAAAGAGGATGTTTTTGCCGGTCTCGTCGAAGGCGGGCATAATCAAGGTGACATCTGGGAGATGTGTGCCTCCATATGAAGGATGGTTGGATATAATAACGTCCCCCTTTTCGAGCCTGCCTTTCCAGATCTCGGCTTGTCGCCGGACACAGGTTGACATGGAGCCGAGATGGACGGGTAGATGGGGCGCGTTTGCGACGAGTCCGCCTGTAGAGTCGAAGATGGCGCAGGAGAAGTCGAGGCGTTCTTTAACATTGGTGCTGACACTGGTCTTCTGCAGGGCCCGGCCCATCTGTTCGGCAATGGCCATGAATCTGTGGCCAAAGATACTTAGCATGATGGGGTCGACTTCCCGGTCAGTGTTTTCTCGGTGGTATCTATAGTACACTGTTAGCCTCTTCCTGTAGATTAGATGCTTTGGGAGGTGGAAGTGACACCGCACCCTTCCTCGCCCCCTCCTTTCTCATTGTCCAAGATGACGTGAGTTTCCGTGACCAGCGCATTTGTTTTGGGCGGTACCACAATAGTCTGCGTACCATCCGCGAGCATAGCTGGACCCTTTATGACGTCCCCGACATCCAGACTCTCCAACTTGTATACAGGGGTCTGCTTTCGTCCACCCTCAAAATACACCTCTTTTGTGCTCCTCTTTTTATCTTCCGCTACGTCCTGGCGTTTGATAGTCTTCAGCTGCTGATCAACTGTCTTTTCTTTGTGACGGAAACTCTTGCCGATGCCACGGACTCGAACATCATCAATAATTATGTCTCTGTCATCCAAGGTAAATCCGAATTCGTATCTGTGGTGCCTGGCAAATGCTTGACCAAACTGCCAACCTTTGCCATCGAAAAGCTGCTTGGCTTCCTCGTCAGTGGGCTTGACAATCATCAGAGCAGATTCAGTACCCCTGTATCGCATATTGAGATATTCTTCGAAAACAATCTCATTCTCACCGAAGCCCTGGTCTTTTAGAGAGGCCCGGGATTTTTCCTTCAGTTTCTCCATTTTCGCTTGTAGTTCGCTGACAGTCTTGCCGTCATCTTGCCAGACGGCAGAATCAGGCTCTTGGCGCTCGTCGACTACATCCGCGAGAGCCATGCCGTAAGCTGAGAGGACCGAGGAATAGCGATGCACGAGAATTTGACTGATTCCCAAGGAATCAGCTATGGCAACAGCATGCTGGCCACCGGCACCGCCAAATGTTGCCAGACGGTGTTTTGATGAGTCGTGGCCCTTGGCTTCCGTAATAGACCGAATCGGCCTTGTCATGGTTTCATTGGCAACTGTCAGAAATCCGTACGCTACTTCATCGATGCTCAAACTTTTCCCGGTTTCTCGGTTCACCTGGTCTGTAAGTCCCTGAAGAACCTTCCTGCTTGCCTCTTCATCCAAACCTTGGTCCTCATTCTTTCCAAAAATCTTCGGAAAGAACTCGGGCAGCAAACGACCGAGGTGTAAGTTGGCGTCAGTTACAGTGGCGGGACCACCTTTACGGTAGCAAGCCGGACCAGGGTGAGCACCTGCAGATTCTGGCCCGACTACAAAGAGTCCATTGCGAAAGAACAGTCTTGATCCGCCCCCAGCTGCCACGGTGTTGATATCTAGCTGAGGCGACTGAATTGTTACGCCTGCTGTGGTAGTCTCAAATACGTGCTCATACCTGCCTTCGCCATAACGTGAAACATCCGTACTTGTCCCTCCCTAGAACAAAAAAAGGTCAGCACCATTGATTGCTACCAACTCAAGGTAAAAGCTTTACCATGTCAAAACCGATTACGGGTATCTTTGTATCCTCGTCATACGATGTTATAGCGTAACCAACAACACCTCCAGCTGGCCCAGATAGAATTGCTTTCAACCCGGTGAACTTATCAACATCAACCAGACCGCCGTCTGACTGCATGAACTCGCATCTGGCGCCCCTGGAGCCCTTTTCTTCTTTGACGCTTTGTGTTCCCAATCCACCTTCGAACCCTTCTTGGAAGCCGTCGATGTATCGCCTTATGGCTGGCGTTAAATAAGCATCTGCGCAAACAGAAGTAGCTCTTGAGACGAGCTTCACCATGGGCATCAGCTCATGACTTAATGAAATATGTTTGAATCCGATATCCTTGGCGATGCGGCCGACTTGAGCTTCGTGGCTCGGGAACGTATATCCATGCATCAAGCAGACAGCAATGCTTCTAATACCCTCATCGTACACCTCCTGTAGCTTCTGGCGGACTTCGCTATCCTCAGCCCTCTTGAGAATACGAACAGTCTCGCCAGATGTGCCTCGGATAAGCGACTGTCCTTCTGTACCGGTCCCAACGTGGGCTTCCGTTTCAGTGACTTTGCGATCTGGGTCTTCCGTGTAGTCTTCCAGCGTCACACGCTCATCAATTTCAATAACCTTTTCGTACAGCACATCAGGCTTCTTGATTGCCAAATCAAAGATCTTGGGCCTCGACTGGTTTCCAATGACCAAGCAATCTCTGAACCCCTTTGTGACAACCATGGCAATTTTCTCTCCTTTTCGTTCCAACAAGGCATTTGTAGCGACAGTTGTCCCCATACGGATGGAGTCAATCTTTGACGTATCCAAGGGTTCACCACGAGGAATGTCTCGCCTAAGAAAATGGCTCATGATGCGCCGGATGCCTTCAAGCGGGGCATCTTTATAATTCGCCGGATCCTCAGAGAGAAGTTTGATGATGATTTCTTCGCCGTTTTGTTCTCCAACACAATCCGTAAAAGTCCCTCCGCGGTCAATAGCAATACGCACACCGCGCTCCTTGGTAAGGCCAGTCATTTTTCTGGTTTGATAGATGTGTCAGCCGAGGCTGAAGGGTATCTGGATGACGATGTGGAGAAGATGCGAAGAGACAAAAATGAAGGAGGTAGTGAGGTCCTGTCCTATGGCGGGGAATCCTAGGCTGCTGCTGAAGCGGTTGAGAGGAGAAAAAGGAAGGCGTATGGGCGCAAGGATTTGACAGTGAGATATTATCAGCTTCTCGCGTCACGACAGGTTATAAATCAACCAAGTCACAGAGGCGTAAAAGCACCTGGATTCGGTGGTGGGGAATGAGGATGGCGGGGTTGGTCCTCCGCGCGCTCATTCAAGGCGGCAAGATGTGGTGGACTACGACCGACCAGTCCGATCAATGGGTCAATGAATGGTCCATGGCTAGCCGTGAAAGTCTCCTAGCTCGAGTTCATAGGCATAGGCGACGTTGAATGATATCGTGGCATTGTGGTCGAGCCAGCTCAAGACCCGACTAAAATCAGTCGCACAGGGCGCGACGTTTGTCAAGGTGCGGAGTAAAATATTTCGAAATTAGGTCTGGTAGAATGCTCCTTCCTTCCACTTCAACCAGCACCTACCTACTCACGACTCACGTACCTACGCACGTGCCTACCAAGATGTATGTACATCTCGACTTGCATGCTCGATGGAGGGTGCATTTTAAGTCGACATCAAGACCGAAAATGAGGCATGGGCCACATCACGCCCTTACTGTTTTTTTTTTTTTTTTTGGCTTTGATAAAACCAGTGGGCGCACTACATACAACCGGGCTGTCAACGATTGTTCTCGATTCCCTCATCTACACCAAAAGGCGGCGTAATATGTGAGAGAGGTCGACAGCCATGCAGCCATGACGCTAACTCTCAATAGAAGAGGCCGCCAAATATGACTTTAACAGGACCGAAGAAACTCCCATTGTGCTTCTATTCCCGTCGCGGCCTTTGCCTCAGCCTCCATGTCCACGCCTTAGGCGTGGGTTGTGAGGCGTGATGACGAATATGGCTCCCGTCCTCGCCTACATTTCAGATCCATCATTAAGAGGGAAAACGCGATCCAGGCGTTTATTCCAAGAAAACACTCGGAGAAAGTTTTAATGGAAAAGACGAGAATATTCAACTCCAAGAACAGAGAAGACCTTTTGTAGGAGTCTGGCAAGTACCGCGGATAGACTAACCAAAGCGATCTTGGGCATATGTATTGCTCAGAGATGGGTGTTATGGCGCAAACTTCAACATGCCGTCAGACCATAGAAGACGGCTCACACAACTACTACCTTATCCCACCTAGCTTTGGAGCCCACAGTCGCCATTTGACAAGGCACACGATGCCATCGGCACATATCCTTGTCACCCGATCTGCATGGCTCTTTCTCGGGGATGCTCGGCTTTTCCGCCAACCCCTTTCTTTTATTATGTTCCTTTTCTTTACAAAGAAAGAAATACGCCTTGAATATTTGACTACAACTGGCAGCTAAAACGCGGCAGCAGCAACCTGCACGCCACGTAACATAGGCAGGCTGTGTATTGATGAGTGGGCGCAACAGCTATTTCTGGCCTGCCAAGAGACGCCATGGCCAATGCCAGTGACGTGCCACTATGCAACGATTCATGGAAATCTGATGAAGCTCCCCAGAATCTTTGATGCCAGGCGACGGCACGGGAGGGAAACTTGATGTCAAGACTGCTTCGGTGTCCGGTACCAGCCAGGGCCCTGGTCCAGCATGATGATTTACATGTTTGCGCGTCATCAAAAGTGGCGGATGTGGCTGCGCGCGGATTGTTGGCTTCGGGTCTGCCCAGACAGGTCACACCACCACTCTGTTGGAAATGACCTCATTCGATGCACTCTGCAACCGATTGGCACCTTTGGGGGATTCTTCCAGGGCGAAGCCAGCGTTTTGTTTTTAAGTGATTGGTGGAGAACCCTTGAGGCGCACGCGTACCTTGACTTGCCAATACCGATGCCAAGTTTCGTGTGCTTTGGATACCCAACTCGCCTTGTCCGGATGCTTGCACATAATCAGTTTGTCATGCCCTCTGGGTGCGTTGTCGAACAGGGGGTCAAAAAGCCGGCTTGGTGAGGATGAACCATGCCACCATGGTGTCTGGGGAACCCATCATGTGTCCAGACATGGACGCAATCCCAGTGCATTTTTATAACCCCTGGTTCAGGATGCGTATGTAATGCGCGTCACATTTCCAGTTGGTCTTGGAGATAAAAAGCCATGCTTCCCCTGCCACGGTTTTCCAACACCAAAAGGCTAATATAAGAAGGCAAACCGAATCGCAGCCCACTCTTTGGCATCACAGGTATCCAAGCGCGCACTGCCTTATCCACCACTTACTTTTTTCCATACCTTTATCTGCCAGCAACTTTAAATCACCATGGCTCTTGATCGCCTTGTCAGTCTCATTCTCAGATCGGCCGAACTTGTCTTCGCCGCCATCGTCGCTGGTGTTACTGGAGATTACCTGCACAAGTCCCACGCCAGTGCGTGGGACCAAGGAAGATTCATTTACACCGTAGTCGTCGCAGGCATATCTATATTCCTGGCATTGATATGGCTATTCCCATTCTCTAGCACCTTCACCCACTGGCCGGTGGACATCTTCATCAGCATTCTTTGGTGGGTTGCCTTTGGCTTGCTGGCCAATGTAAGTATACTTTTGTCGCCGCTTCATCGGTGGTCGGCTAACATGTGCAGCTGCTGGGATCTTCCTGCGGTGCTTGGTTCAACTGGGACAACGTCTCGCCCCGGGGCGACCAGTGCGGCAGATTCAAAGCCAACCTTGCCTTTTCGTTCCTTTCTGCCATCCTCTGGCTCGCGTCTGCCCTTATTGGCATCTTCTGGATGCGAAAGCAGGAACGCCGTGCTCGCGCCGAGACGGCTCCTCACCGACGCCGTTGGTATCGCCGCAGCCACGTCTAGAGGATCCAACTCCTCTGATGCTCGATACGCGCGAGAGGCCTTTTGGTCTACGGGCCAGCGCTTGCCAACAATTCACTTGGGAGGAATAGGTTGGGCAAACGTAAAGCAATGTTGTAAAGGAACATCTACGAAGCGACGATGGTTTTTTTGTGGTTAAGGGTCCTATTATGTGGCTGAACGTGGAATTGGCTTTGCGATACCCAGATGTTTGCTGGTTGAATAATGTCGATGATGATGAATAGTGGTGGACCTGTTGGTTTGAAGCAAGTGACATTGCCATTGTACCTAGGGTTAGCAACTAATACGAGTCAATCTTTTGGTATATTAAACTGAATGCCCATTGCCATATGAAAATCGCGGCTAGTGATAACTGAAGCTTCCAAGCGTTTCGCACACAGTTCTCGCCGCACGCAACGCTTCAAAATAAGCCATGGTGCTACCAGACTCTCGGCCACTAGCCAGCAAATGGTCTAGGGTCAATGGACTGCATGTGAATTCTAATAGTTCCTGCAACGGCGGCTAAGGAGGGCATGTCACCTTGAGCACGTTGCGGATCGGGGAGATCGAGATGCGGGCAACTATCCTCCAAGGCGAGTTTTGCAGATGCCGTCATTTTGCTGTCGGATTCAGCACTGCCATGGTCGTTCTAGACCATCGACTGCAGTAGCCATGCAAGTGTTCAATGTTCTTGTCTGGAGAGACGCTCACCAGCCACACTGAATGAATCTATGATGCCATTGTGTAGCACTTGTCGGCTTCGGTGTTCCGTATCTTGTGCCACCACCGCCACAGCCCTGTCTGCACGTCCCATTGATCGTCTCGTCGTCAGATTATCTGCCCCCTCGTTGCGTCATTCCAGCTACATGCCACCTACACTACACCGCGCAAAAGCTGCATGCCCACCATGCATCCATGGCTTTGTCCAAACCGACCGTCTAGCGGCGACCCGTATTTGGCCCGTTCACGTCCTTTGGGTGCCATTGTCGGCTCCCCCACCACAACCAAGCTTTCCATAGCGGAGACAAGTGTCCGGAGTTGAGGAGCTTGTTTATAGACGTGCCAAGTTCCAACGTCACAGGAGGGTCGTTATGACGCTTACAATATATGATGCACCACGGTCCCCCACTTTAATGAGGCTGGTGATGGGGTTTGATGGGATATCGTGCAAGGCGACAAGCCAATGGTTGTTTGAGCATGATTTCACCCGAACGAGGCTTCGTAACCGCCATGTGGTTTGGGCGAAAAGCAGGCCTGGCCATGGTGTTGCTTACCCCAGGGTCCTATGACGAAAGGGCTCAAAGATCAGGTAAGTCGTGATGCGTGATGGAGATTGCCATCGATGGATGCTAATGATTTCATCGCGCAAGAATCGAAAAGGGTAACGCCTCACACTTGTGCCTGGTTTCCGCCATCTATATAAACATGCGGTTGGGACTTCTCACAACATTCTTTCTGAGACATTCAATCATACAAACAGCCGCCTATACACACACAAGGCATCTATACTCATAAAAGTACCCCATACACTTATTCAGATACCCCATCCAACACCAAAGATCTCAAAGACTATCAGCCATCATGTCTTCCATCGTCAACAAAGTCAAAGAGGTTCTTCATTCCGACAAGGACAAAACCACACGCCATGAGGGAACTCACTCCTCAACACATCCCACCACCACTGGCACTCACACCACCAGCGCCGCTGAGCCTCGCATCCATGATACCACCACCACCGGCCCGGTAGGCGGCACCACTGGAACTCACGACACCTCCTTCGCCGGCTCAGACAACTACACTTATGGTTCCGGAGCCAACCGTGGCGCCTCCGGCCCGGCCTCCAAGACTGATGGTCCTCACAACTCCAATCTCCTCAACAAGGCCGATCCTCGTGTCGACTCGGACCGCGACCACAGCAAGAACTTGGGCATGAACCCACAGGGCACTGCTACAACTGGCACCACCGCCGGAACTGGTATCGGTGGCACTCAGCATCACAGTGGTGTCGCTGGCACTACTGCTCTTGGTGGTGAACGTACTACTGGCCCGGCTACGCGTACAGATGGCCCTCATCAGTCCAACTTGGCGAACAAGGCTGATCCCCGTGTCGACTCTGACCGTGATCACAGCCGCAACTTGGGCATGAACCCTCATGGCACTGCTACTACCGGCACCACTGGTGGTCTTGGCTCTGCAGGTACTACTGGCGCCGCCATCGGTACCACGGGCTTGAACCGTGGCTCTGATGGCCCTGCCACACGCACTGATGGTCCTCACGAGTCCAACTTGGCGAATAAGGCCGACCCCCGTGTTGACTCTGACCGAGACCACAGCCGTAACCTGGGAGCCAACCCTCATGGGACTGCTACTACTGGCACCACTGGCACCACCGGCTCTCACGGAACCCACACCGGTGCTCACGGCACTCACGCTGGCATCGCTGGTACCACTGGCACTGGTGACAATGCTGCTTTCTTCTCCAGTGGCACAAGTGGTGCTACTGGCATCAACCGTGGCACCGACGGCCCAGCTACTCGCACTGATGGCCCCCACGAGTCCAACTTGGCGAATAAGGCCGACCCCCGTGTTGACTCTGACCGAGACCACAGCCGTAACCTGGGAGCCAACCCTCATGGGACTGCTACTACTGGCACCACGGGCACCACTGGCTCGTACGGAACCCACACCGGTACTCACGGCACTCACGCTGGCACTACTGGGACGCACGTTGGCACCGCTGGAACCACCACCGGCACTCATGGCACTCATGGCACTCACGGCACTCACGGCACTCACGCTGGCACTACTGGGACGCACGTTGGCACCGCTGGAACCATCACCGGCACTCACGGCACTCACGCTGGCACCGCCGGCGCCGGGCCAGGACCGGCCCCGAACACTGCCGGTCCTCACAAGTCCGACTTGCTGAACAAAGCTGATCCTCGTGTCGACAGCGATCTTGACGGCAGCAAGACCTTCGGCGGCAACAAGACGTACGCGCAGCCTTAAAGAGTGGGTTCTAACTCATCTCATTGAACTCTCCCAACTCTATCATGAAGCAAAATATCTAACAAGCTTTTGCAGGAGCGAGTCTATGGGCCACAAGGATCCTACAGACGCAGCGCAGGTTCCCCCTTCAGTATTGCAGAAGCACATTGGTGCTCCGACTGTGGAACATGATCATGCGAAGCACGATCATACCAAGAGACACAGCGTTTCACACCAGGAACAACATCGTGGTTTGTAAGGATGGTTCTTTTATAGTCGGGGAATAATGATTTTACGAGTTGAAATGTACTAGTATGATTATTGAATGAATTGATATATTTCCGAGCTATCTAGTTTCATCATTCCTCTTGCCATTTGTGACTCGTATCTATATTGTGGAAAAGAACTTTATTACTCACTCACGTTGTCTGAAGAATGGATATTTATTTTTGATTAGTAACGGACAGTAATAGAGCTTCTGCCTACAGCGTAAATGTAGATCACGAATATGAAACTATGGCTACAATTTAACCAAGTAATGCTCGTTGCGAACAATCCAAGACCCTGAAATATTGACTCGGTTTCGGTACAATACTGAAAAGTCAACAGACTTAATTTCATATTTCTCATTAGTTATTGACATCTTTGTCTTAAGACAAAGTGGGTCGCAGCGCATTATCTCAGCATTGACTCTTGCACCCCACCCAACTTGGGTACTTACCCTATGACACCAGACTTCTTCAAGTGATATTACAGCCTCACCCAACCGGCAGTCACTCATCGTCGGGCATCCGTCAACCTCGAAGCTCCTCCCATACTCACCATGCCTCCCTCATGATGGCACCTTCAATTGCCCAGACGCTGTGGGACGCCCGTATCCCGCTACACGTCACGCACGCCTCATCACCCACCGCCCCGTTCATCACCAGCGTCCCACGCTTCTCCTACCTCGCACTCCTGCTCCCCCGACTCTCCGCCTTCTTCGGCTCGGCATGCTCGAGTTTTCACTTTGAAGATGTCCAGCTGAGGAATCTGGCAGTAGGCCTGTTGGTGGACTTGTACCAGCCCACGCTGCCGTTTCGGCTGGTCGTCGGTGACGGAGTAGGGTGGGATATCGGGGACACCTTTTTGAACTGTGTCAAGGAGGTAGACGACGCGCCACCCATATATTCCCCCCCCTCCAGCTGCGGAGAGAAGGACGAGGGAAATGCTAATGGTTCAAACATGTAGGCAGACTTTGTTCGTAACGGCAACGCGAACCAAATCATGAAAATGTCCAAGGAGCACACCACCCAGCTGTGGAACGCAGTCATCGACAATGACCACGGGTCATTCGCCAAGGTCAATACGAGGCTGTTGAATGCGCCTACCAGCCTGAAGCACGTTCCCGTGCGGGTGTACATCCCCTCTGCGCCGGAGCACCAGGACCCGGCTATGTCTGGGGACGCCGGCTCCTTCAGGATCGTGCAGTCCCTCGTGCCGGCGGCAAGTGCTGACCGCAGGCCAAAGCTGCTGGGCCAGGCGCTTAAGGACATGATGCCGAAATTGTTCCCGAGCAGTAGGGACCCCGTGTTGGCTGGGGTGGTTATGCATGGCGCCGGTGTGCCTTTTGATGCGCCCTTGGCGGATCTCATGCGGGAGGCGGCGTATCCTGACGGTTGGCTTTGCTTGGTGGTGACTGTGTAGACGGAAATCGACATGGCATGGTATTTGGGAAGCAGGCGTTGGGTCTTTTTCTTCATTCTTTCATTTCATAGCGCTTGCGTTCTTGAAAACAGGCAGGCATCTGTAGATGGGGGTAAATATAACGCGTCTACTCCGTAATCAAATACACTACCGGCTTGTGCCAGTAAATGTTATCTGTCTACCCATCAAACTTCTATACGCATTGTCCACGGCTTTTCTTTTCCTCCTCCTCGTCTCTTCATCCTCGTCGATGTCTTCTGTCTCATCAATATCATCCGGTCCCGGAATCTGCGGCATCCACGCACGAATCTGGCCGTCCAGGTGAGCACTGTAAATCGCACCTACCGAGTTCCCGCCCCCCATGACGGTTCCGATCTGTCCAGGCCCTCCCCCCGCTCCTCGCCATACAATCGTTGTTGTTCTGTTCCTGCCCAACTCTCCGCCCCGAGGACCTACAGGGTTGGTGGAACCAGGGCTGCGCAACCTTGTAATCACATTCCCATCATGCAGGTCAAGCAGCAATATCTCCTGATCGTTTGGCCAAATCAGAATCTCCTTGTTATTTGAGAGGCCCGACGATGTGACAACCATGGTAGCAGTCTTGGCATGCCGATTCTGAATCAAGGCTCCAAAACTCGCAAGAGTATTTGCTCCCGTCCCCGCATCCCAGACTCGGATCTTACGGTCCAACCCTGCTGACACAATGTACTTGGCATCGTCTGTCCATTGTAACCCGTTCACGGCCTCATCGTGGGCCTGGGCAGATGTCCGAAAGTGCGGCATACTGCTCCAGTCCTGGTCCAAGGCTGTCGCGTGCCGAAACCGGTGAAGAACACCCAATGAATCTTCTTGGTCGAGCTGTGCAATGACACCGCCTGCACGCCGGATGTCCCAGATGCGCACTTTGCCGTCGGCATGACCACTGGCGAGGATGTGCTCGTGTCGCGGGCTCCATGATGTGCAGAGGACAGGGCCGCCGTGGGCAACAAGTGCCTGGACTGCGGAGCCGGATTTGAGGTCGACCAGACGCACGTTGGAGTGTTGCGTTGCGCAGGAAACAAGGAGGTGGTCTGCTATGGGGCTCATGGCGTGAGAATATATGGTGGCATTGAGATGGAAGTCTGCGGTGAGCGCGGAGCGTTGCGTTGCCCAGAGTTTGAGGGACTTGTCGTAGGAGCTTGACAGGAAGGCGTCTGGGTCGAAGGGGTAGAACGCCAGATGCGTGATGCCGTGACTGTGGCCATTCACCTTCTTCACGCCGGTAGAACGAGCTATTGTGCTCACCGGACGGAAGACATGTCGTTGGTTGGGGGTCGGTGCCTCGTCAAGATCCCATATCTTGATGGAACCTTCTGAGCCACCAGACACGAGAATGCGCCCGTCGAATTTTTCGAGCGCAAGACCGCTTACACCAGCTCCATGAGCGCGAACACTGCGTGCTCGCTCTTCTGTCTCTTCGAGATGCGTTTGAGATGCTATTTCGCCGTTGAAGCGGTGTTGTGGTGCTGGGGCGAAGCTACGGAGGAGGTCTGCGTTCACTGACTTGGAGAGGTCATCGGGACTATGGTCACCCGTTTCACGGGACAGGAGGCGGGCCTGCATTCATCGAGGAGACACGCGGGACGGCGCGTAAGCGGAAGTTACATGCGAGTGAGGACCGAGACGTATCAGTGTTTGCAGTGCGATTATGCTTTTGTTGTCGTTGAAGTTGATGATAACCTTACCCTGTGATGTCAGATACCCAATAGGTCCGCATTGAGACGACGTGGGGCTCCACATTGCCCCACGTCTTTTCAACCTCATCCCGAAACCTTCACAAATTTCCGACTCGAATCATCACTTCTTTCTTGTGGCATGAGTGCAACAATTCTCTCTGGGTCCAACGACGACATCTATGCGGGACAATGACAGTCAGGCGGACGCACCCACGCGCTAAATTTTCCAGGAAACCCAACTCTTGACGATTCGTTGCGAACAATTGTCTTGCCACCACAGTACCTATTCTCGCTTTTTAAGCCTGCAGCAGTGTCACTATGGACACCTATGCAGAGGACAAAGAGCACCCCTCAATTACAGCCGAAGAAGATAATGCTCAAGATTCCGGCGTCTCTGACGCGAGAAAGCCGATCTTGCCTCGCCGCCGCTTGGCAACCCTCTACGACGCCGTTGCAGGTAAATTACCACCACACCGCGGGAAAAAAAAACATGAAAATGCAACCGAGAGCCAACCCTTCATCACGTGAGATTAACATGATGCAGGAAGGGTTACCAAAGACACGGCTCTCAGAAATGAGATATCAGATCAGAAAAACTCACATGGGCACTCCCACCAACGGCAGGAACGGCAACGCAAAGTTACCAGGCACTCTACTCGTGGCACACCAATAGCCCCCCATGAAGTACTTTTCCGGCGCAAAGACGCGCCGGAGCGGTACGCTGAGCACGATGTGTACAATGCGCACGAGAGAGATCTGCCTCGTGGCGGGAGGGACATTCTCCCCCACAGCGATCTTCTCAAGTCGGTCCACGCGTACTCTAGCAAGTTCTACGGGGCCATGGAACGAAGGAGGAACGAGATGAATCGGGAAACAGAAGTCGGCGGCGGCGCTACTGGTGGACGTAGCGTCGACGAACGGAGCATGGACGAGACCGCTCTGCTCGCCTTTGGGATCCTGCTCGAAGAAGCCAGCAGGGAGGTCCTTGGCCAACGGGGTGATTTGGTATTTACAGAGGGTGTTGTTGGGGCAGACGGTTCAAGCGGAGATGAAGTGGCGCAGCGTACAGAGTCTACGGTTGGTTACCGAGTCGTCGAGTCGTCGTTGAGAACGGCAACTAACAGCTCTGTCACCGAAAGGAGATTGGCAAAGAGGAGGAGATTGGCAGACTCCAACGATTGAGTAACCAACACTTGCAATGCTATTATGACTCGTCGGCGGGGAAATTCTCCTTCCGTGCTTCTCGTTAGTTTTTTTTTATAGCATCCAATGAGGAAATGAGGGGCATAATTACGGAGCATGTTGGTTGTATTTTTCTTTATACATAACTCTATTCACTACGGAGTACAGCTGTCTAATTTTACGGGACACGACATGGCGTTTGGTTTCAAGTTATTCTGACGGATTGTCGATCTAGCCGCCTTCATTTATGAGCAGGTGAAGAACAGGGATAGAGTTTGGCTTCATATTGTTTCCCTAGAGAAACAGTTAGGTAGTAGATTCGTTATCCCAAGCATGAATGTGTTGGTCATTATGACCTAGAGCATACTCCGTAATGAGTATCCGTATACTGAGCAATGAAATCTAGAAATTTCGACAACGTCGAGCGCCATCATGACACATGCTGCACTAGGCGGAAGCCGATTGCGCCTCTGGAGCATGGGCAGGTTGCCAACCAGACACATCTGTACTAGTACAAAGAGGTTTGGGAACAAAGACTTGGAACATGGCCACGATTCGTATCAACAGACCAGCAGTTGGTCCGAACACCAATAAGCTGGAACACCTAGCCGCCATCGTGATGTGGGAACCACGAGATGGCTTTGGCGATCGAGGCTACTCCAAATGGCTCATTTGTTTTTAAATTTGTCTCTTTTACGGAGAATAGTTCCTTTGTTTCACACGCCGTGCACAAGGACGTTGTCGCCACATCAGGAGACGGAGGCTTGCTCACCTGCAGAAGTGGAGGTTGAAATAAGATCACGCATCAGGTGTCAATAAAAAGGCAGAAAGAGTCTGGTCCTTGGCCCTACAAATCGGTCAATGAACAGGGTATCTGGTGTATGAAATGTGTGTCAGAAGATGCACTGGGCGGCGAGCTGCTGACCGGACCAACGCATTGTTGGCTCGAAAATGGAGCCACAGACGCCCAATACAGTACAATATACGGAGTATATGCATTGTAACATAAAAACAGACTGACCGACGTAGCAGAATCAGTCCATGCCTGCCATGTAATTGCCAAGGAGGACTCCGTACCTCGCTGATGGGAGTGCTATTGGGCACTCATCGGACTCCATACCGGGACTTCAATCTAGAACTTTTCTGGCCCTTTTTGATCGCGAGGGTGTGGAGGCGGGGGAGGGTTCGGCATGCCATGTATCGATACATGAACTATTGTGTTTTTGAGAAGAAAAAAGTTTTCCCCCTCTCAATCATAGTACAAAGAGGACCTTGTCATGTACGTTTCGATAGTTGAGCGACATTGGATGGGGGTGCTTGCAGTCGACGCGCGGTTCGGCCATGGATCTTACCACCGCCACCACTCTTTTGTAACTGCGGCACAAACGCAACCTTGTATCACCACATTGTACTCCGTACATTGTAAATATGGACAACTCCGTTGGCCATGCCTTTTCGAAATGGGGAAAAACAGATCGAGGTTCTTACCCCCGGCCGTTCTGGTGCTCCCAGGTAATCTGCTATGTGCGCGACAGGGCTTGCATGGGATAGTCGTACAAATGCGTGAGTTACGGATATATTACACAGGTGCGTGTTCTGCGCGGCGTCGCCCAATGGCTGGACGGGGAAACCGCCTCCAGCTGAAAAGCCCAATCCAAGCCTGGCGACACCGACCGGAAGAGCGCAGCGCACCGATTTTGAGGTGACCGATTCGCACGAGATCTGACGGACACAGAGATCGCTCAGATATCGGCCAGCCGACCAGTCACCTGACCAATGTCAGTCCTCAACGGCGTTTTAGATTTGCCCAGTCTGACATACAGGCATGCAAAACGCAGGCCGGACAAGGCTTCACGTCTCTACCCGACATAGACACTTCTTCCAAGGCCCCTGTTAGAGCTGCGTTCCGGCTCTTGTTGCGACAACTGGCAAGAGACGGCAACGCCATCATTTTTTATTCGTCTCGATACGCCTCTTTTCTTGTTGGCCATGTCGCATTGAGTACAACATCATGGGCTTCGGACAATGATATCTGATACATCATCAGATGCTCTGAAACCGCGCAGTACGGAGTACTTGGCAGGCGAATCTAACGGTGTGAATAGGAGCTTGAAAATAGCATACGCCGCGTGCCCGATGGGATTCTAAGTTGGCAATTTTTGTTGCTGCGAAACGTGCGGTCTCATCCCCATCGTTGATAACACCCTGCCACAACAAAACGCCATGTTGCTGTAGTTGTATTGATAAAGGAAGAAACTCAAATAAGGCAAAAACAGGCGGTATGCTGCTGCATCACATTGTTTCTGTAAGCAGGAGGAGGGAAATGCGGTTTTGGTTACCCCGTACCTAGGTAGTCAATGAAGCTAAAACTATATCGCCTGGCGAATAGACGCTTTCGTGCCAACGAATGTACCCTTGCCGCTTCAGATTCTATACTGCTCATGAGAAAGAGTAAATCGTACTCCGTACACTAGCCTGCGGACTTGTTTGGACTTTTGGCATGGAAATTTGACTCAAGGCTCATCGGGGGGGTTCCGCTCAGTATTCCACGGGCCATCATCGTGACTTGATGTGACTGGAAATAGGCTGCTATGCAATTTACTATTCCCATTCGAGCAACTGCCAACCTCCCGACCAGGTCAGAGTGTCCTCTCATCTTACACCAACGATCAATTCTAAAGCCTGTTTGTGTCCAGTGTAGGCGTGGATGTGGTGATTGTGCTCCAAAGAATGCTCCGCTGGTCTGTCGATGCAAGGACGTGCAGTGCTCACTATTCGGATTGTTTGCGCTTAAACCTCGACACAGCACGAGATTCGAACGGGCCGTTCCTTGTGCCTGGGTCATGGCGTCCGTGAGTGCTATGTCATGCAGGTGGCTGTTTTCGCGATGTTTGGTGGTTGACGCGGCGACAAGAATCGCCAGGGACTCGTCAGAACGCCCCTACAAATTAAAGCAGGAAGCACTTTTGATTCGGGCAATGGAGCACAGAGCGCGGAGTACATACTAGGTAGATACTCCAGGTAATTAGTATTTACAAGAAACCTACTAGGTACTATCTAGGGAGGTATACAGTAGTAAACGGGCAATGGCAGACCGGCTTATGAGGCAGGAGCGAGACGGTGTAAAGAGAAAGATGCATTGTGCGTAGGAAGAACCAAGAGCAGTTTGACCACCGTTGTGGAAGGTAGTTGCACAAGACACAATGTGGACCTGGCAAAAAAAAACTCGGCAATGTTCCTTTTTCTTTTTCCTTTTCTTTTTGGTCTGGCCACCTTCATGATGATACAGAGTGCTAAGCAACGTCCCGTTTAAAACGCAAGTTGATCGAAAATGGCACTTGGGCTTGGGGGACTACGCACGGAGTACTCCGTACTGCATCCTGCTGTCTTTCACCTCCACGAACGCTTCAATGAAAAATTGACAAGTCATTCCATGCCGGACAATGGTGGGGTTGCCAACACCAAGTTTCACACATGGTAATGACCACTGCAAAGACGGGACGACGCCAGAAAAAGCAAAAACAGCCTCACGAGATCATCCCACGGTGGACTCCGTACGGAGTAGTACTGCCATTTTCACCCGCTTTTGCTTTTTTGCCTGCCATTACTCCGTACCACTCAGCCAAAGCCACGAAAAGAACAGCAACCCTATCCTGCTTTGATGCGAAGCTGAGCGAACACCTCCAAATGTGGGCAGAGCCTTGTTCACTCATGCCAATAATCTCGATCAGAGTGGAGCTGGCTGTGAGATGTGACAACGTCATCCATGAGATGCATGGTGATGAATGTTAGAGATTGGGTTTCGACATTGTTGATACGAGTAGCGTGCGCAGAATGCAGAATGCAGGAACACGGCGAGACACGTTGGCCCTGTCAGGACAGGAGGGAGAAGGGCAAGCAGAACAACCAAAGTACATCATATTGGACATAATTTGTTCTCAACTCGCCGCCTCTGCAAGCGGCGGTTAACTCGCCATTTCCCTCAAGGACCAAGGCCGTCATGGCAAGTCACAAAAAGCTGCCTCTCTTGTCTCAACTAAAGCGAAGCGCCGGCAACTGTTGATACAACCTATTTCGGGTGTCGAAGTAAATACGGAGACACAATAGGAGCCCAAGCATGTTTCTCTTGCTTTTGGTCGTGACAAATATCCAGCAGTACTCTGTACCCTGGACACAAACAGCTAGCCACCGACGTCCCTGAGAGTTCTCTCCGCATGGCGATCATTTCGTCTCGCAACCCTTGGCCGGGTTGTTGTGAAAATACACTTCGGATTACCGCGAACTGGCGCAGCCCATGGCAAGTGCAGAGTAGTATTTGGAGACGGCTGGCCTGGGTGATCAAAAGACTGCTCCTCATATTAAGACAAGAAAGACTGTTGGTCATGAATCCGGGGACCCGAAGACCAGGGCCACTTAGCTTTTCAAAATAGGCGTGGCACTCGGCAGGCGGGTGCCATCCGCGCGTATGTACGGAGTACATATGCAGGTTGCGCACTGCCTCTAAGCCTCAAATCTTGAATCCACATTTTGGGAAGGCGGCCTCAGTGCTTATGACAAGATTCTCAAATCCGCCGACCATGATAATACAAATATCGGCTTCAAAAACACGTACAGCATACGGAGTACTCAGCTGCCATCATCCTGTGCATGAGGGCGCTCCGGCAGCAACGAGTGGATCGATCGTTGATGATACTCGCCATCTTCAGGACCTCACAATCAGGGGTTCAGCACAACCCGGTTGGGAGTGTCGCAATCTCATCAAGATTGTCGCTCTCTACTATAATTCCGAATGCAGTATTCAGTGAACGAGGAGAGAAGAGAACAGCAACAGAGAGGACGTACATACATAATACATCAGCAGGGTCCGCAAACCCTACCTGGAGACAAGTTCGTTCTCAGTGGTGGTTTTTCTTCTTCTTATTTCAAGCCAAGGAACGGGGCATCAGCACGGCCATCCAGCCTTCTCGGCCAGTGGCGAGACACCAGAATCTCCCAGATCC